GAAAGAAAAGGTTGGCTTGTGAACAAAATGAAAAAAAAATTTAGTTAGACCCAAAGTCTTTTATGAGCCAAAGGTGTGATGATGCTCTAAATAGGAAAAGTAGTATTAAAACTTTCTGGATGGGCGCGGTGGCTCACGCCTGTAATTCCAGCACTTTGGGAGGCTGAGGTGGGTGGATTGCTTGAGCCTGGGAGTTAGAGACAAGCCTGGCCAACAATGGTGAAACCCCATCTCCACAAAACAAAAAATACAAAAATGAGCCTGGTGTGCTGGTGCATGCCTGTAGTCCCAGTACTCAAGAGGCAGAGCCAGGAGGATCACCTGAGCCCGGGTGGCAGAGGGTGCAGTGAGCTGAAATTGCACCACTGCACTCCAGTCTGGGTGACACAGCAAAACCCTGTCTCCAAAACAAAACAGAACACCTTTTTGAGGAAGGAAGAAAACGATCCTTTTCTGAATCTGGATAACTCACTTAGAGTAAACTGACAAAATATGAGTGTACCCATAAGAGAAGGACCCCGGGAGCTCAGCCACACACACGAAGAGCAGCGGGGAGGGGCCGGGAAGAAGTGCTGAGACTCTCGGTACAAACTTGGCTGCACGAGCTCAGCATTCTCCCCTTTTCCTCCTGGAACCCTCCAAACAAAACAAGAGAAAACAAAAACCTCATTTTCAGCAAAACTGGGAGACAAACTCCAAAAGAGTTGCAAGGACTTCCAAAGGAGATCCAGTTCACACAGGAGATGAGGAGAAAGCAGAGAAGCAAACGAGGGCGATACTAGCAGCAGCAGTTATCAGAGAGCACCAAGGGAGATGGGAGGTGGGAGTGTATGTAGTTCTTAAAGATGAAGGACCTATGAAGGGCAAAAGCACCATCCCTCACCTGCAAAAAAGGTGCAGAGACAGGAGTGTGTGGATGGCAAGAGAAATCCCCAACCCCAGTGGGCCTGGTTTTGTGGCATCTGCACTGTGTTTGCCCACAGCCTTTGCTTTACCGACCATGTTTTGCCAGTCTGCTGACAGGTAACAGTTATCTCCTTTCAATGTTAATATCTTATGAGTGAGGCTGACCATCTTTACCTACTTTGTTCATAAAATAATCTCTGTTCCTCAAACAGTTCTGACTAAATCCTTAATGCCAGTAAAGGGCTACGAACCAATTATGGCTCAAATAGTCAGCCCCCTGTATCCACAGGTTTCACAACCACATGGATTCGACCAACCTTAGGTCAAAAAGTATTTGAAAAAATTCCATCTGTACAGCCTTTTTGGTCATTATTCCCAAAATAATACAGTATAACAGGCATTTGCATGGCATTTACATTGTACTTGGTATTAAGTAATCTAGAGATGATTTAAAGTACAGTCATGTGTTGCTTAACAACAGGGATATGTTCCTAGAAATGTGTCGTTAGGTGATTTCTTCATTGTATGAACATCATATAGTGTGCACACACAAATCTAGATGGTACAGCCTACTACACACCTAGGCCACACGGTGTAGCCTATTGCTCCTAGGCTACAAACCTGCACAGCCTGGTACTATACTGAATATGCTAAGTAACTGCAATACAATGGTAAGCAGTTGTGTATCTAAACACAAAAAAAGTACAGTAAAAACATGCTATAAAAGATTACAAATGCGATCTCACCACGAATAGAGCTTGAGGGGCTGGAGGCTGCTCTGGGTGAGTCAGTGAGTGAGTGGCGAGTGAATATGAAGACCTGGGACATTAGTGTACACTACTGTAGCCTTCATAAACACTGTGCATTCATGCCATACTAAATTTATTTTAAAATGTTTTTCTTCCTTCAATATTAAATTAATCTTAATGTAACTTTTTCTTAAAATTTAAAAGTTAATTTTATTCTTTTATGAGTTTAATACACAAACACTTCATATAACTGTACAAAATATTTTCTTTCTTTAAATTTCTATCCTATAAACTTTTTCCTAATTGAAAAATTTTTTAGCTTTAAAAATGTTTTTGGTAAAAAGAAAGACACAAACATATACATTAGTCTAGGCCTACACAAGGTCAGAATCCTCAATATCACAATCTTCTCCCTCTACATCTTGTCTCATTGGAGGGTCTTCAAGGGCAAATAACACACATGGAACTGTCAGCTGTCATGTCCCATGATCACAATGCCTTCTTCTGGAATCCTCCTGAAGGACCTAAGGCTCTTTTGCAGTTAACTTGGTTTTTAATATGTAGAAGGAGTACACTCTAATGATTAAAAAGTATAATATAGTAAATACATAAACACAGTAACATATACTGTATATAATTGTACGTGCTATACTTTTATACAACCAGCAGTGCAATACGTGAGTTTACACCAGCATCACCATGATCACGAGTAACAGGTTGAGCTACAACCCATTACACGTTACAAAGGCTATGATGTCACTGGGCAATAGGAATTTTTCAGCTCCATTATAATCTTATGGGACCACCGTCATACATGTAGTCAGTTGTTGACCAAAATGTTGTTATACAACATATGACTATATATGGAACAGAGTGCACAGGTTATATGCAAAGACTAGGCCACTTTATATCAGAGGCTTGGGCATCTGCACTTCTGGTATCCATGGGAAGTCCTAGAACCAATTCCCCAAATAAGGGATCACTCTATTCCCAAATTACCTTCCTCGGACCTGGAGTTTAAGTAAAGCTTAATTACCCAGGCTAATAACAAGCAGCTAGCTGACCAAAAATCCAAACTAGTGGAATTCTACTCATGTGACTTTTCCCATTTCAATATTTTCTTAATCTTTCCTAATTGAGAAAAGAAGCTCAAAGAGATGACCCTGAGTTTAAACTTACACTGAAAATCCATCATGGGCTAATTAAAACATGTCAAGTACAAAATTCTTGTTTTCACGGACATTCACTAGCATCTACGTAGCTTATAAAACAAAATGACTTTAAAACTTCAGCTCTTCCTTGTGAGCCAGCGCTCACCTTCACCACCTACCACATGCAGAGGCTGGACAGCCAGAGTCTCAAAATCCAAGCATTCTAATTCAGTAAGTACAGTCCATACGCAACTTGAACAGACCTCTGAACTCATTCAAGAGTTATTACAAAGAACATTGAAAAGGGTCTTAACAAAAATACCACAAGGAGTTTGCAAATTAGCTACAAAAGCATTACATAAGCAGCGAAGTTGTCCCTACTACCAGGGAACGTATGTCCTGTTTTCTTCTAAAAGTCCTAGCTGACTATTTGCAGGCTCCTTAGTTCAGCAGGCACCAATTTTTCTAAACAGGCGGCAAATTATAAAGAGTTTTCAGAATCCGGACTACAAAAATACACAAAGTGTATGAAAGATTCCATGCCAAAATGTGCTGTTAAATTAGTAGGATAATATTTAACAGCATGTGTTGCTATTTAATAGACTAAATTCCACGGGATAATATCAATACAGGGCTTTACTGCTGTTGGGCCATTTTTTTGGAGGAAAAAAACAATGTCTGTGAATTAAATAAAAACAGAAACGATAATGAATGAGAAATTTGGACCTGTGAGGTAGGCAGCAGGAGCCAGTCAAGAAAAGAAAATCAAAAGACTCTTCTGACCCCCAGGTGAAATGGCCATGTTTTGGTCAATGATGAACTGCATATACAATGGTGGTCCCATAAAATTATAATATCATATTTTTACCATACTTTTTCTATGATTACATATACAAATACTTACCATTGTGTTACAACTGCCTACAGTATTAGGCACAGTAACATGCTGTACAGGTTTGTAGCCTAGGAGCAAGAGGCCACACCACATAGCCTAGGTGCGTAGTAGGCTGTACCATCTAGGTCTGTGTAGGTACACTCTATGATGTTCCCACAATGACGGATCACCTAATGATGCATTTCTCAGAATGTATCCCCGTCATTAAGCGACCCACGACTGTACAGGGAAATAATATATTTCTGTGCATTAAAAACATGAAAGCTGTAAGGTAACCACATTACCAATGTTAGCAATATTAATGAGTTAAACGAGCAGGTGGTGCAAAATGTACTTCTCCACCAGAGGACACTACAACTTCCAGGTTCAAATTGTTTTCTGCATCCCTTAGTGTCTATGGTTTTTTTGTTTTTTGTTTTTTTGGCTTAAACCAGTAAAAATTTATTTTCTGACAGTTCTGGATGCTAGAACTCTGAAACCAAGGTGTGAGCACGGCCATGTTCTCTCTGAAGGCTCTAGGGAAGGGTCTTTCTTCACCTCTTCCTAGTTTCAGTGGTTGCAGGCACTACTTGGCCTTCCTTGACTGGCAGACCATTATTCCCATCTTGCCTCCCTTGCCACATGGTACTCTTCCTGTGTTTCTGCCTCTAAGTCCAAATCTTATCTTTTTCTTTTAAATTTTGTTTTACTTTAAGTTCTGGGATACACTGCAGAACGTGGTTTGTTACATAGGTAAACATGGGCCATGGTGGTTTGCTGTACCTGTCAACCTATCACCTAGGTATTAAAAGCCCGGTATGCATTAGCGATTTGTCCTCATCTGCATCCCCTACTCTTGAGTATACCTAAAGTTAAGACATTTAGAGAAAAAAATAATTTTTCATGTGAAGAAGGCTAAAGTTTCAGAAAAATATGCACTGGGACTCAGAGACTGAGAGTGGAAAAGCAATCAGGTCAATCCTGAGCAAGCCAACTTAAACCATAATGCAAAGACTTCACAAAACTGGTCTGATGCCATCTTTGGGACACTTGCTCGGCATCTAACACAGTATGTTGATGAGTAACTGTGGGGCAGATCCAAGTTTTCACAAGGAAGGAAAACATTTCTAAGGCCTCAAGGAATGTGAAGGCCTGCCAGTCCAAAGTGTAAGCTTTCTTTCACAAGTTATGTAAACAGCTATGCCACGGGATAAGTATTACCCCAGGAAGCTACGGAGGATATTCCTTGGAGTGGCTAACTACCAGTGTAAATGCAGAAAGAGAAAAGACCAACCAACTTGGACATTTTCCTTTTGCTACCTCTTCTAGCCGTCGCCTCTGTTCTTTCTGCTGCTCAATCCGCTTCTGTCTCTCCGCCAGCAGTTGCCTTTTATATTCTTCCTGCTCCCGGAGCTGTTGCTCCTGTAGTAACTGTTGTCTCCGAAGAGCCTCAGAACGTTCCTTGTTCTCCTGCTGCAGTCTCAGGAAATCTCGACGAAGAGTAGACTCACCAGGCACGTTCACAATGGAACTGTTGGAGAAAGTAGGGCTTTCAGGGGTGTGCACAGATCACACTGTCCTCTAAGTGAGACAGTAGCACCAGCATCCTATTCCATTTCTACATTCATTCTCTGAGTTCTTCTGACTTGAGGGAGGCAACTAATCCATTCACAGAAATGACCATAGCTACAATTCGATAGTCCCATATCTTCTTTTATTTATTTAGTAAATGTCTTAAAATGCTGTCCTAGATGTTTGCTTGACAAGACATTTCTACTTAGGATTCTCATAACGATTCAAACTCAGTCAAAGGAAAGGTTGAAATCACCTTCTTTATTCCACTAGTCCTTTAACTACCTTTTTTTTTTTTACTTCAGTAAACAGAACCATCAGACCACTATTCAGTGTTTACACGATTCCTTTTGTCTTTGGTCAACCACCAAGCCCTGTCATAATTCCCTCCCACTTTCTAATTTCCAGGTCAGCAGCTGAGCCCAAGCGGGTCCTATGAATCAGCCACTGCAAAGATCAATTAAACACACCCTTCCTAGGTGACCTCCCCACCGAGTTACTTCTCCACTGCCATGGCATCCAGAGCAGCACGGCAAAGATATCTCCTTAAATTGCCTTTTTCGCCATATGGTGCTCCTCCTATTCAAAAACAATTACACTGCTCATGAAATCAGTTCAAATTCCTCTGAAATTCTTAGTCTAAAATGGATTAAAATCTCTCCTACACAAGAAGAAAAAGAGATTATGGAGTAGCTTCAATAAATTCTCTTCTCTCTCTTCCAAGTCCCATTCTCTGGCACATGGTTCCCCACAGGTCTCTCAAGATGCCCTTCCACCCTCCCTTTGTTCACTTCATCAGCCACATCCTGCAGCATGGACAAATGCCAGGCACACCCATCTTACAATCCAAAAATCTTCTATTCTCTGATTCATCAGTTATTATGAGGTTCATGCAACCAATCTGACTCCTTAACCTTCTGCTTTACTGAACCTTGGGGAGCCAGAGATAAACTAAAACACAGACCGTAAAATAAATCAGGACACACACAGTCCTGCTGGTCCATGAGTGGGACAATTCTTTGTGTGTAGCCATATTCTATATACCACAAGAAATGGTGTTCAATGGCACCTTCACTATCCATGGCTTCTGGAACAATAAATGCTGGGGCACTCTCCCCTGCCTAGGCCCACACATTTATCAATGACGCGGGGAGAGGACACAATACAACCCTTGGTAAAGAATCACTGGGTAAGAGGATCCAGGGAAGAAAAATGTTTACAGGACAAGAATAGAGAAGAATGGAAGATAGTAAGACGCTGTCTAACTAGTACTAGGCAAAGAATTTAAGATTCGTTGTACCACACAGGAGTCTTCTGAAATCCTGGCACAACATAAAACTTAATCCCTTCATAAAGCAGGATACTGAACAGTGGCTTCGTGGTTACCTTGGCTCTCCTTCCTGTTCAGGCACTTCCTCCTCTTCTTCCTCACTCCCACTGTACTCATACTCAGTTTCATCTACAAAGAAAAGGACAAGAGCATCATGGCAGAAAATAAACAAATTCCTGGTGAAAACAGCAACTTGTATAAAGGATTTGTGGAGGAGGGACAAGACACCACATTCCCATAGTGACAGCATCTATTCCCTAGTCAGCCTTACTCCCTATAGAAAAGCTGATTCCACAGCATTCCAGCCAACCTTGTATGGGGATGCACTGCTGAGGAGGTGCAGGACCACGAGAGGGGGTCCAGCGCCCCTGACACATAAGAAAAGAACCCAAGGACACTAGCAAATTCAACAAAATCCACTTTGATGGCAAAATTCAAAAAGATATGTGACTGCTGAAACTAAGGCAACCAAGATAATTTATGTGGTGATTTTCTGCAATTAGGGATCCACAGAGAGTGCAGCAGAGGGAAAAAAGCCTGTAGGATGGACACAGAGTGAAACATTAACTAGGTACAGGAAAAACAAGCCAAAATGTACCCACAAACAAACCAGGCAAAATCAGGGAAAACAAATTAAACCATATAGCAAAAAAAACGAGACTAAAATTTGCTCTACTTAGGCCAGACTTCAAACAAACAGAAGTTTCAACATCAATAACTCACTTTCAGTTCTACAGGTTTCATACAGTTCTCCCAAAAGGCCATTTTACCGGTCCCTTCACTTAATGTCAATATCCAACTTCCAGTGAGCAGTTTCACTCCAGAAACCAACAAAAAACCCAGACAGGCTGAAGAGATTTAAAAGCAAAGACTAGACACACACACCTCTATTTTTTTCAAAGATATACAAGATGAAAATCAGGCTGGGTGCGGTGGCTCCCACCTGTAATCCCAGCACTTTGTGAGGCCCAGGCGGGCAGATCACGAGGTCAGGGGTTCAAGACCAGCCTGACCAACATGGTGAAAGCCTGTCTCTACTGAAAATACAAAAATCAACCGGGTGTGGTGGTGCACGCCTGTAATCCCAGCTATTCAGGAGGCTGAGGCAGGAGAATCACTTGAACCCAGGAGGCGGAGGTTGCAGTGATCCAAGATCACACCACTATAGTCCAGCCTGGGTGACACAGCAAGACTCTGTCCAAAAAAAAAAAAAAAAAAAGATGAAAATCAGTTTCCTGGTTTTAAAGTGCCTGAGCAATTAAAATATGGTTCCGTACAAATTTATCAGTCTGCATAAATAACATAAGCTCTTCTGTATGCTAAACCATCAAAGCTATTTAATTTTAATAGACTCTGCTAGCTTTAAAGGGAAATTCCAGCTTAAATAATCTTCAGAATCCTTAAAATAGGTACTCTGCTATGTTTATAATTTTATACTACAAATTACTAATTATTGACAAGAGGCTGATGGTATCTGGAAGGTAAACCCAAAGAGAAAATAAAGAGGTCACTGTGACTTGAAGACTGAAAGGAAGGGAAGGTGTTCTGCTGTTTCCATCTGCAAAATGTGGGTGATGAGGAAAACACGAGATGATCCAAGGTATCTGGCAAATGTTCCATGAATGTTAGCTATTATTACTAAGTAAAGTTATGGGAAAATGATCCAATATGCAAATAATTTTTTCCTAAACAGTGCTTCCATGTCAATTGAGAGTTAAGGAAAAAAAGTCTTGTTTTCAAGCTTTAGTTAACTGTGTTACAAGTGCATAGCTTAATATACAAAGCCTAATTACTTTTATAACTAAGTATATCAGAAGGAAGAAGGTTATTCTGAACATCAATGATAACTTAACTATGAATACCAGTACAGGCAGAAAGGCCTCCAGACTTTGACCAATTCTTTTACTGCCTTGAACCTGCTCTTCTTAGTTTCTTCTCTGACCTTGAAATTTGAACCAAAAAATAATAGGATACCAGTTATCCAAGTGTTGTTCTATAATGTTATTATAAGGACCCACAAAAGAGAAAGATCAGTGTGAGCCAGCAGCCTCAGAGAAGATGGTTTAGTAAAGATGGTGATGATGTTTGAACTGCACCTTGCTGGACAGAAGGAAAACGGAGAGCATTCCAGGAAGGTTGGCAAAGTATGTGCAAAGACATAAAACAAAGATACTGGGAACACAAAAGAACCTTCAGTAGTTAGCACAAGAGCATGCTTGTGCTGTGCATGCTATTGAAAGCAAAGTCGTCTGACTATGCACGTGGCCCATGCTGCCACACCACTTGTAATAGAGAGAGCAGTAAAAAACCCCTGAGCAGGGTTCTTGGGCAGGAGAATTATACAGAAACACACTGATGGTGATGCTCACAGCAGATGCTCAATAAACCCCAGTGAAATATGCCATGAACACATCCATGATGAAGTAAAATGGGCAGCAACCATGACGTCACCCTCGGGAACAAGAAGAGCATCCCATCGTCATGCCTATTTACTTGCTGTAAGCTTGGTGACACACCACAAAGCTCCAGCCAGCTCCACCTGGAGCCAGGCTGGACCCCAGGCCTAAGCACTGAACTGCAAGCAGAGAGAAACCATGCAAGCACTGGCCAAGTGAGCACTCTCACAGCTGGGAAGGGAGTGACCTACTCTAGTTGGCAAGAACCTAAACATAAAAATTTTAAAGGATGAAAACAAAAACAGGCTTAGTACCTTTCTCGCCTCTCTTCTTCCTGGTACGATCTATATGATCCTTAAGCTGGATTCTAACTTGCCTTTCATTTGGCTGATCCCTTATAAAAGGATGTTTCAAAAGCTGCTCTGTAGAGGGCCGCTGCGTGTAATTCTTCACCAGGCACCCTTCTATAAAACTAAAAAATTTCTTCGACCTGTAAGAAGTGAAAAAGATCATCAAATTTCCACCACAGAGAGTAAAGATCCAAAATATCAGTAACTTACAAGCCTCAACATAAAGAAGAGCTTCAGAATTCACTGTGAACATTCTGCAAATGCATAGGAATAATATATGAAACATAAATAGGAACTCAGGACTGCTGAGGATCAGGAGCATTAATTTAGCACAGTTTAAGTGGTGCATCCTATCGCTAACAACACACCACAAATAGGCAGCTAAGAAGGAAGTCAGATTTAAATGAACTGGGCTTAAATCTAATATTGCACATTAATCACTTAATTACAGGAGTGGCGGGGGCAACGGGGTAGCGGGAGGTCTTTGATAAAATGAAGGCAGATGGGACAGATGTCCAGTACCTAGAAGACAAGGACAGAAATGAGATAAGAAAAGGAGCAGACTCCATGACCAAATGCTGGGGCTCTTGAACCTGTTAATTTGACATTTCCAGCAGAGTTCCAAACCAGTTGATTTGTCAGTTCCCTCTGTTTAATCTACAAAGGTGGAAATTACAGTCGTTGAGGTTTTTTTGGAGGGGTTGGGGAAGAGATGAATCTGTCACCTACATTTGCCATACTAGCCACTTTTACTTCTGCCTGTTTCTCCATAACCAGCTCATGAGGACCACAGCCCTAGCCTTGGTCAGGACACTCTTACCAATCACCTATCCTATTTTTTGAGACTCATTTCAAGAATCACCACTTCTGGTAAATCTTCCTGGCAACACTCCGCCCTATGTGACCCCAAGTTAGGAACCTTTCTTCTGGGGTTATCTGCTTTCAACAGACTGCATGCTTTATGTTTCTGTCCCGCTGAAAGGTTGAAATGGTCCAGGTCAAAAACCGGTTCCTATATCTCAACCTATAGGCAATGCTCAACACTAGGCATGCACACCACAATAGGTATGGAATAAAGTTTTGTTGAATGAATGAGGTATTCTTCAGTCTTTAAAAATGTGAGTTAGAAAATTAGTTCACTCTTTCTACTTCACCGCTTTTAAGAATCACTTCTATTGTCTCGTATTTCCATTAAAACTTAACTTGTTTTCAATTCAACAAATATTTATGTATCAACTATTTGCATTTGTTTACGTTAGGCTCTGTAACACATACACATAAGAAATAAAGTGGAGAAATTTAGGTAGATACAACAGCAGACATATATCAAACTTACAGAGGAAGCAAAAACCTGTTACAGTGGATTGGACAAGAAGAAAAAGTAGGATGCTTGATATTCGTAAGGTAGGACAGAGAAGACAACATTCCAGAGTGAAGGAATGATATGAACTAAAGTAGGGAAGTGTTAGAGAATCATGAGTTATTTTCTGAGGCTAGTATGAAAAGTGAAAAAGGATGGAAAAATAGGTTAGGGTCAGCTCAAAGAAAAGCCCTTAAAGTAATTCAAAGTCGCTGTTACTTTATTCTACGTTTAATGAGGAACATGGAAGATTCTACACAGGATAGTGAAATGCTTTAACGCAGAGATTTCTAAGACCCAATGTCCACAAAGATCATTTTGGGGAGTTTATGGAAGATACAAATACCTGAGTCACTCCTCAGACCAGAAACTTTGAGGTTAGAGCCATCAGTTAAAAGATTCCAAAAGGATTCCTAAGCATGGTGTCCACAGACTAACATTTGGGAATCAATGAACTACAAAATATTTCCTAAAATCAAGAATCAAGTTCTGCTGGCAGAAGGACACTGATCATCTTTTGAAAGCCATTTCTCCAAAAAACAGAACTTACATCAGGTGGACAGCAATCACAAGAAGAAGGACTTTACGTCTGTAATTATCTCATCCTTTTAGAATACTTGGGTAATATGAGAACAGGGATATAAATGGATGAAACGTGTCATCTAATCCAGTTTAAAGAAAGTTTGGTGTAAGAAAAGAACACAGGAAGCGTTTATTGCTGTCTACCACTGTACCTTTGTATCACTGTATGTTGGACACACAGTGGTTAATACAAAACTGTAGCTAACGGACAGAATAATCGGAGTGTGAGGAACCCTGAAGACAGCATTAACTTAGCAATCCTTCCAGTACGGACTTCTGTCAACAAAATCTGAGAGAGATAAAGAAAAGGGGAGAATGAGTACTACTTAATCAAAGCATGAACTGGGTAAAGAGTTACTCCAGCTCCATAGCTGATTCCTTGGGTGATATCAGCTATACACATTGGGTTTCCCTAGGCATGGCCACCTGAGGATGTCCAGAGTTATTATGTCTTAATACAGAAGACTGACTGGAGCTAAAATCCTTACAACTCCGTGGCAATAAAAACCATTCCAAACACAGGTAAATGGAATCAGACAGCCACATGGAGCCAAACGTGGCTAAAGACTGTATAAAAACTGAGAAAAATCCTGCCAGCAGAAGACAGAGGGGAAAGGATGGTGAAATGTGTTGGGGGAAAGGACAGTGAGATACAGGGAGAAGAAGCACGAAGAAAACTGGTATGAAGATGGGTGTTGGCGTGCAACAACATAGGGGAAAAGAGAACTGCAAATCACCAGAAGGTGAGCAAACAAGAAAAAAAGGATAAACAGGAACCGCTAAAAGGCCAAATTCAGAATGGAAGCTTAACTCTGAGATGTTCTGCGTATTTCAGAATGAGAGTCAAGAACCTAAGACGAGGTAGCATCAATTGGAAAACTAGTAAGAACTGTTTAAAAAAAAAAAAAAAAAAAGTCATATAGCAGGTAGGAATCAATGAGTCCAGAAAAACAGAAAGAGGAACACAAAAAGGAGGGAAGGCCATGCATGAAGAGCCAGAGTACAGACGAGAACAAACAGGAAAGGACCCAGAAGGAAATTCAGGAGGGAAACAGGGGGCAAAATTCTCAGCAGAACCCAAAACACTGCTCTCTCTCTTCAAGATTTTACAACTAACCCAACAGTATGTTCCCACAATGCTGCAATCCTAACAGGTTCTCTCAGGGAAAGTCATCCTCCTCTCTCTCTCTGTGGGTATCAGTACTCTGTTTGACAAATGTATGAGAGTTACAAGGAGAAGGAAAAGTGACAGCCCAAGAAGATTAAGCCATTCTGTTAATATGCTATTCTGCAATGAAAGCTGGTGTGTCTAACTTCAGTTAAAAAAAAATAATAATTACAGTAAAAGCCTCCATTAATTTTAAAATCCTATGACATCTGAGGAACTGCAAGTCAACACAGCTTTTTTTTTTTTTTTTTTTTTTTGAGACAAGAGTTTTGCTCTTGTTACCCAGGGTGCAGTGCAATGGCGTGATCTTGGCTCACCACAACCTCTGCCTCCTGGGTTCAAGCCATTCTCCTGCCTCAGCTTCCTGAGTAGCTGGGATTACAGGCATCATCACCACGCCCGGCTAATTTTGTATTTTTTTTCAGTAGAGACAGGGTTTCTCCATGTTGGTCAGGCTGGTCTCGAACTGCTGACCTCAGGTGATCCGCCCGCCTTGGCCTCCCAAAGTGCTGGGATTACAGGTGCGAGCCACCGGGCCCAGTCACTTTCTTTAATGGAAAGATGTGTAGAAGTATATTACACTTAAAAGAATGTCTAAATATTAAAATAGAACATTTGTCTTTAGACATGTTATAGTGTTTCGTGTGGTCGTTTGTCACCGTTTTGTAATTCAGAGAGAATTTATCAAGAAAAATCTCATTTAAAAAAAATCAACGCACTCTTTAATTGGAGTTTTGGAGAACCAGCTCTTGTGTTCCCCAGAATTAGAAGGGCCAGAATTTTATCTCAAAGCAAAGTATAAGTAAAAAGAAACAAAAAAAAGGAAAAGAACAACAAAAAACCATATATAGCTTACCATTTTTTTGACTTCAGCCGGGGAGGAGGGTTTCTGGGAATGAGAAACAGTGCTCTCATTGGATGCATGTCACAGAGAGCTGAGGAGAGGAGACGGTCGTGTCAGTATGGCACTTACTTTACTCATTCTTGATTTCTAGGGCTCAGTCATAAATAACATGAAATGCTCTGGCCCATCGTCTGACTGATAGGCTTCATACCGAGCAGTCTAGACACCTAGTTATGAACTCCAGGGCATACCTTGAATTTCCCATTTAAAAACAGCACAGCGGGAGGATGAGAGCAACAAGAAGAATATACATTTTTCAACAGACATTGGAAAGTTTTCATAAATCTAAGTCTTACAGGAACTAACACTTAAGTTGTTAAACTATCTGTAAGATTACAATGAAAATGATTGCATTTTCATAGGGTTGTTGTCGAGATTAAATAAGATATGGCTTGCAAAGGCCTTCACGCAATGCCTGGAACAGAATGAGCACAGTTAGGCCCTCCAGAAATGCTGTTTGTTGTTACAGCTAAAAATACTAGAAAGAGCAAAAATTGAGCATGAAATAGATTTACTTCTGTGCAATTACTGTTTTTGTACTCCTATCACTCACCCAATAAAGGTGTGTTAGGCACACACGCAGGCATTACTGTGTCACCATAGGCAATGTGCATTTTCATGGGTTTCTTTACCTTCAAAAGACCCTTACAAGGCATCTGGGCAATGAGGAGGGGCAGACAATACTATTCCCCTTGTGAACAAAAACTGAGACAAAGGATGAGGTGGTACTTCCCCGCCTTACTGTCTCAGAGGGAAGCACAGGGGAATGTACGGTGTTTGAGGCAGATCTCTATTTCCACACTGAAAACTAATTTTTAGCTGTCAATAATTACTTTCATTCATTCAACAAATATTTATTCAGCAGCAACTATGTGCTGTGCCAGACAGTTATACATTCTTTGTGTAGACCTTTTTTAATGGGGACAGCAGAAAATGCAGGGGTTTTTTTTCCTTTGTTCTCTGCAATTCTACCTCATCCGTGATCAAAAATGAATTATATGAAGTTCTCATTAATTCAATCCAATGGAGAAGCAAAAACGCACAAAATTTCAGTTAACACGCACAAAAAATTATTCTATTAATAAAGTTTTGCCTCCATTTGTAAACTCAAAACTTAATACTAAAATTTCATGTGTTAGGAGTAGTTTCACTGAATTATTCAATTTAAAATGTAAAGAGAAAACTTACTACTTACTATTTGATCTCAGCACTACTTCAGGTCACACATTTGAGTACAACTTAAATAAAAGAAAATGTAGCCTATAGGCCTCCTAGAGATATTTAAAAGAAATAGTAATAGTGGTTGCCAAGAATTCCTTTTATATCTAAAACTTGACTATATTGATGATGCCTTCATCTAAACAGTCTACCAGAAATGCCTTTATCCATGGAGCTGAGCTGTTCTTTTTGAAGTCTTGGGAGAGATTTAAGTTACACGTTAACAAGTGAGCTAAAAAGAAAAGTTACTTACGGGGAAAAAGAAAAGAAAGTTACTTACGGGGAGCACCTTCTGCCATCTCGATGGCTGTAATGCCACAAGACCAAAGATCACTCTGCAAAAATAAAACAGTATGTTACGGATACTGGAGTAGCTACAAAGCCACTAACTTACATGTCTGGCTATTCACACAACTTTGCTATATAAACCAAAATGAAGTTTGCCAGAAAATTAAAAGTACAAACACATTTGTAGAACTTATGGAAGGAGGGAGGGACGGAGGGAGGGAGGGAGGAAGGAAGGAGAAAATTGATTTGATTAAAACCACTCACATCTATGGATGAACTAGAGCTGGTCCACTTAAAAACCTCTCTCTAACTGTTCAGTGAATGGTCTACGGTTCAATATGTTTCTTCATTTCTTCATAAGCATTCAATACTTTAGACTTCTGGCCCAGATGGATGTTTATTGTTAGTAACTCAAACTTAATTAAGATTTTAAAGTTTAAAGGCCAGAAACCATTCTTTACAAAGTGTTCACCACTGAATTCATAAAACCTAACGTGGCTCACTAATTCAAATCATGCCATTAAGCATCCCCAACCTACTTGCAAACCAAACAAGTCAGCTGGTTTTCTGTACATGGAATCTTTTTCTTTTTCTGATTCCCCTGAAATACTAAATTTAAAATTTGAATTAAACTTCACTTTCTACTCAAATATAAGTTCCATGAAGGCAGGCATTTTTGCCAGTTTTATTTACTTTTGTAATGGAGAGTACTCACTAAACACTGTTTGATGTACTAAAGTCTTATCAGACAATATTTCTTAAAATCCAAAAAAAAGAATTTTTGAAAAGTAGATGAGAATAGTTATTATCATTACTATATATTTGTTTATATGCTATCCTAACCAAGGAATTAAAGTTGCTCAGTTTAAAGGTTTTCTAAATAATCTATACTTATATTACAAAGTTCAGACACATATATCTGAATACAACAAAAAGGAGAGACCTATCATTCCTCCCTTATTTTCATTAAGCTTTCTATACTATCAGGGTACACAAAGGGGCTCATTACCCTAATCCAGGGGCCCCTCCTGGCAATGAGCGGGGGAGGAACAGCTCTGCATGTCCCCTGCTGAGGCAACATGAAGAACCTCCACCTCCACCTCGCCAGTGGTGATTTTGCTAAGAAGGTTTTCCTTGATACAAATTAAGCCTTTCTAGTTTACAGGAAACAAACTAAATGACATAAAGAAGTAATGAGACAAATCTCAAGGGCAGAACATTAGACAACAGGCCCAGGCTCTTCAGAAAGTCAGTTTTATGGCAAAACAAAAACAAATACAAAAAAACCAGGTGGGGGTGGCGGTGGGGGTGGTTCTAGATTAAAAGAGATTAAATAACCAAATACACTGTCTTGTTCTGCATACCAGCCAGGTCTAATTACCAACTTTGTATTAACTATTTGTATTTACTTAGGTATAATAATTATTTGGGGAATGCGGGAAAACATTTTCAAATTTTAGAGACATGGTAAAGAGTGGAAAGTCACAAAGTCTGTTATCTATTTTAAGATACTTCAGTATATAAAAAATAAAACTTACTCTGCACTACAGTCTTAAATTAAGTCTCATTAATTGGATATTTGTAATAAATACTAAAATACATGGGAGACTGTTAAGACATGAATTCCATTTTGCATATCATTAACAGGTATATTAACCAGTCTGGCTCATCTAATTAAGGCATGGATTTTTAAAAACAGCTTTTGTAAACATAGCAACCAGAGTCTGATATCAAATATGGATTTACATCTAGATTTTTTTTAAAAGTGCATTATTGATTCAAGTCCCTAGAGGTCACTCTAATAATTTAAATAAATTTGTATACCAAATCAATGCTGTACAGCAGTTTAACAAGAATAATATAAAATTTCACTCAAATGAAGCTATTACTGTACACTGGCAATATTTTAAAAAGAATAAATATTTGATTCTAATATATTCTTCAAGTTAAAAAAAAAAAAAAAAAGGATAGTAAATAGGAACAAAAAGCTCTAGGCACGACAAAGTGCTCCAGACTGCTTTGAAACCAGTGTATTCCTTAATGAGAACACAGTCATGTGATACAAATGGCCAAAAAAGACAGCCAAAAAAGTCCTGAAAAATTTGCACCTGCAATTTTCCTCACTGAAGGTCTTCCTCCCTGAAAAGGCAGGCAGACAAGGGGTGTGCAATTTATAAGCAAAGCCCCCATCCCTCAGGCATGCCAGTGGCCCTGCAAAGGCCTACGGAGCAGGTGCCTCTTACTCTGTAATCATAGGTGGCATCCGGGTTCTCATCACAGGCGATGACCTCAGGAGCCATCCAGTAGGGAGTGCCTATGAACGTATTTCTCCGCCCCACTGTCCTGTCCAGCTGAGCACTCACACCAAAGTCAACTGTGGGAGGGAGAGAAAGGAAGAGAAAGTGAAACACAATTACGAACTAGATATACTTGTGAAAAAACACAAGGAAGAAATGTCTTCATAGTAAACTGAAACAGCAGTGCTTCATGAATATGCGATCCTCCTCAAGGCAGGCACCACTGGTCAGGAGTGCCCTTCCACAGTAAAGCCACCGAGACTGTGAGATCCTCTACCAGTCTGGAAGCTTCTGTGAAGCCTGGATCTGGCTGCCTCCCCAGCTTCTCCGACAGTGACCAGCAGAGGGCCTTTTGAATGAACCACAACCTTCAGTGCTTTCAGAGAACTGCTGCAAACAAGATCAAGTCACAGAGAGCCCCAGGTTCTGGAGAACTGACTGAAGACACACTTGACTTACCTTCTTAAACAGCACTAATAACCATAAAGGTAAGAAATTCACAAAAGTTTTCTTGAAAAAAACACAGTACTGAATCAAAAAAAAAAAAAAAAAAACACACAAGCTAAATCGTATGTTCACAAACAACACACCCTAAAGCACCTGGGACTTCTGCTGATTTTCCAGTGACTTCTGCATCCCACCCAATTGGATGGTGGTGGTGGTCTAGAGGGAAGTTCAAGGATGGGAGGCAGAGCTGGCAGGAAGACCATGACCTCTCACGGAATGCCTGCCATCCGTCCCTGCCAACACTATCACCACACACACTACCATTACCCCAGCAGGAACCTGCAGAGGTGGAGGCGCCCAAGCAGAAAGGCCTACGAAGCGCTGAGATGACTAAAAGGGATCATAGATTCAACTTCTATGCACAGAACACGCTCAGAAAATGGCTTGTCCAGGGTGTGGACTTACTCACTGAGTACTCCTTCAGAGACAGAGACACACGGGCCAGGCAGCACAGGAACCAGGGACACACAGGCCAGCCAGTTAGTGCAGGAAGCCTAAGCGAGCATCACAGCGACTTGGAAGGCAATGGTAACCAATCACTAAGTGATCACTCAGGTACTATCACAGGCCGATAGCAGGAGACCAGTGCAGGGAACGCACAGCTCACTGAGTCATTTGGTATGAGAACTGCTCAAGTGCTTCCTTGAGGGGGGCCCTGAGGGGAGTTTCCAATTGGGCAGATTCCTCCATAGAAGACCAACAAACACAGACACTATGCAAGAAAGTAACTATGAAGATCTTACTTTTACAGTACAACAGCTGTGCCTATGATTTCTAAAAGAAAGGTGGACCAGACCCGTATAAACAGAAAGAATTTTGTTATGATGTGTTAGTGGAAGAAAAATTAATACAAACGCTATTTAAAAATTTGATACAACACTTAGATGAAAGTGGAATGAGTTCAGACCCAGCTAAAGGAAACAAGAAATATAAAAGAACCCTTGTGAATAACTCCAGGAAAACACCACGGGCTGTAATTACCTATCCATGCAGAAATTTATCAAGCACCTACTACAATGAAGTCACTATGCTGGGTGCTGGGTAACAGGCTATTTGCTGCATTCCCAGAATTTACATTCTGGCAAAGGAGACAGTAACAGAAGTAAAAAACAATCACATAACTATAAATTGTGAACAATACTATGAAAGAAACAAGCAGCAAGGCCCAAGACAGATCAGAGGTTGGAAAAGGCCCCTGAACATGAGAAAAAAAACTGTGACTTCAAAACTGAAGTCAAGTCTTCCCAATGGGAAACAGTTATGCAAAGGCCCCAAGGCAAGATCCAGGAAGTTTAAGAAAAGAAAAAAAGACAGTGACTGATGAAGAGAGAAGTAAAGAGGGACATAAAATGAGGAGGGAAAAGTAGCAGACATCAGATCCTACATGGTTTTTTATAGGCAAGGGTGAGAAATGTCGGTTTTATCCAAAGTAAAATAGGAAGCCATTAAGGGTCTTTAAGCAGGAAAGTGGCATGGTCTGATCTGAAGATCAGTCTGGCTGCTGTATAGAGAACCAGGGGGCGGGAGGTGGGAGGGAACTAACATGGAAGTGGGGAGGCTGGAGCCAGGCTAAGCAATATGCTCGGTTCCCACATTCTTAAGAACAGAAATAGAAAACATGGGTAACAGACTGAACTTTTAGCTAGATGGAAGTAGAACTGGGAGTGCAGCTGGCTTGTGCCAGGTGCAATTACGAGATCACGCCGCACATCCATTACATACCAAGTTTCACCTCTGCATTCTCAGTCAGCAACACATTCTGGCCCTTGATATCCCGGTGAATCACGTGATGAATGTGAAGATGTGCCAGTCCCTGAATAGGAAAGACAGGCCTGAATTTTAGTTTTCTGTGACTATAAGTAAACAGCCAGGAACACACCTTTTATAAGAAAGTGCACATGTGGACCAACGGTGTTTGTGAGCTCATGAACATTAACTTCACTCTTAGTGCATTCCCAGGAAGACAGCACCAACACTACCACACACACAGAAAGAAGTCCTCCCCCCCGCCACATTCCCAGTGGGTTAGGTTCCCCGTGTGAGCAACATGACCACTTCTAGCTGTGCCTTTAAGATACACTGCAGATTACCATCTGCAGTTTCTCTGCTATAATTTGTGCTATTTGTGTACAGGGTGGTTCCTTTCCCACGCTAAATGTCTAGAGGGTGACCCCGTGGGCATATTTGAACTAGACACATCTCAGGGGAAAAGCAAAGGGCAAGAGAGGGCTTTGAAATCTGACTCTTTAACACTGGCTAGCCTTCCCACTGCACAGTGACAAACTGCTAAGTGCTGATCAATCCCACCTCCATCCCAAGCATAAAATGATTGTGCTGTCAAAAAGAGCCTTGTGTTCAAATAAAATATCTTTCTTTCCCAAGGAAACAAACCTACTGGGCATATAACACTTTTTGATGACCTTGTATCTGGAATGAGGCCCAAAAGCTTGTCTCTTACGAGAGGTGGTGGAAGAACAAAAACACATGTTGCATCCAAATATGGTCCAAGAGACAGTAATGCATCATTCTCACAACTCATTTACTTATTCTGTCCTTAGCTAGAGAAGCCAAATATACAGCTCACCTCCTTAAGATACAAGCAACCTATTTACTCTAAAATGTCTCAATCCAAAAAGGGCAGATTATAAGTAAGGGTTATTTGATTTTTTTCCTGTTTATTCTTTTTTCATGGGGTTTTATTGTTATCATTACTTTGTAAGATATGAATTAAATACAACAGCTCCTCTAGAATACTAATTTTTCTAACATAGGGGGTTTCTAAACATTCATTTACTGGTCTGTCTAGGAAACAGAGCAAAGCTTATTTGACAGCTCTGTTTATTTTTCACAACACAGGATGTGCGGTATTATACCACAAAGCACTGACTAGAGAAAAAAGCACTAAAAATATATGGTACCTTATTGCTATAGTTAGGAACAAAGTACCTCCTCTCAGCATGGTATAACTTCAAATAGCAAAAGGAGAGACACAAAAGCTAAGTTCCCCAATTCTTCGTAATTCCTATTTCTATTACTTCAGTTCATTTTTGTTTTCTAACTTGCCAACCTCTTCTTAAACTTTTACAGAACTATCTTAACAACAAACATAAGCACCCACATCTTGTCACACAAATGTGGCTTGCATGCACTCTTGTTCATTACCAGCAATAAATGTATGGAACAATGCCTGTTTTCCTGTCTATACTGCTACAGGATCACTGCTTCTACAGGGAATTAAGTGTATCTAATAGCTCTGCAACAATGTTATATGATTATTCGGAAAAAAAGAACCTTTTTCTGCCATTAAGTACCTGAGAGTGTATGTGTGTTCAACTAGTCCCATACCAGAAATCAGGCCACAATTATTCTTCCTTAGCAGAGACGCCAAGTCCAAACACTCAGTGAAGCACTATCCTTGAGCAAATGCATCCGTGTTTCTAAACCAGGAAACATTTTCCCCTAAACTCTCTTATCATGCATGGTCACGGAACAAAAGAGCAGTCAAAGGCTGTCATACAGCATTGGTTACAGAAAGCTCTAAGTTCCCATGCTCAATATGAAGATACTGCCATGTGGAATGTGAACATGGAAGTGGGCTGAAAAGAACATCCTGGCCTTGCTGCTAAGCCTTGTGGTCCAGAGGGTATGACAGTGTGCTGGCTCCAAAAAGCACTTCTCTATTGGCTGAGGCCTACCTGCTTAGCATCCTCACCATTCAAAGGGTCTGATCATAATGATCATAATGTCTAAATCCAACATCTAGTGAGAAATGAGGAAAGGTTTTGCCACCACAGAAACTGTCTAACCCCAACCGTCTTTGAGAACACAGCTTATCTCTCTGGGGGTGGCTGCATTCCTTTCTCATGAGGCCTTACCTCCAGCTTATCATCTTGCCTTCTCTTTACCAAAGCCAACTCTTAGTAACCCCTATAATGAACACACACTACTGCATGACACACGAACTCTCCCTGAGGCATTTGCTTGTTTTTAGTTAATTGAAACTTTTGTCACAAGGAAAAACTCCCATTCTAGATGAAATGTAGGCGAAGGCAGCTCGTGTTTCAGATGCCCAGTGAGGTGAAAAAGATTTCCTGCGTCTCAAAAAGATGTTCATTCACATGTCACACTCAAGCTGGCTTAGAGGCGTCAAACAACTTTGGCTTTTTTTAAATATTACTGGAGATTATTGATGGTAAAATGGCTAAATGTACATGTTACATATGATAGGTAAACAACGCTTGCCTGGGTATAGAAACACATTTGTCTTTGAAGGCTGAAATACATTTGATGCCTAGGACATCAAGCTAAAAGCTACTTCTCTGCTTGAGATATCAAGAGAAAGGTAGGGGCGTGGGTGCACAGGTGGGGATGTGTATGGCAGGAGAGTGGGTGTTTAAAACAAAGAATAATGACAACAGTTAATAGTCACTGACAGGTAGCTATGTATCCAAATGTTACATTAAATGATTAATATACACTAACTCATTGAATTCTCCTAACAAAAGTAATTTCAAAAGGTTGGTATCTAAAATGTATAGACGAGGAGAAAATAAGTCCTGAAAGTTGAATAACATAGGGTGTGCTATAGGTAAGCAGCAGAGGCAGGACTCAAACCCAGGTATGACTTATGCTAGTCTCCAACCACTCAACCAATGTTCTATCCTGCCTACCATGCTAAAGAGTTTTAGTTACTAATAGAAGAAATCCACCTGGCCCAGTACCTGACTTCCTTTACAGTAGTATAGGGCAGGAAAGTTTCCCACATTTAGGCTCTGCTTTCTGTAATAGTCATAAAAGATCCTGATATTTTAATGACATTTGCAAGTGTTTATAAAAAGATGGTTCTCCTGTCACCCTACCCCACCCCCCACAACTAGTCTTCTTAGGGGAATTGCCTCTTTTCAAGGACTACATAAATATCTAAATTAAAAAAAAAAAAATTAAACGTTTCTCTAGGAAGTCTAGATGGCAGTTTTTAAACCTGCAATCCTCTATGAATCTTACATATAAAAAGTGGGATAACTTTACTTATTAAAAAAATTAAAATAACTTATTCATTACTTTTAAGTTTTTTTATTAGTGGGGGAAGCATAAGAATTGGGCTTCAATTTAACTTCACAATCTTTTTTTTTTCAATGTGGGAGGTAAATGAAATGCAACCAAGTAATGTCTGTGTGTAATTCAGGAATGAAGTAGAGAGAAAAACTGTGATAGCCAAATGAAGGAAGAGACCCACTGGTAATATCCTACATGCACTGCTCAAATACGAAATCCTAGAAACCCTCTCCCTGTGCCGTCAACATGGCTTTACTACTCAAAAGAAACATTTAAAAGCTGCTAAAATAGTAGTTCAGAAACTTACTCTAAGATATTTAGCCAGCTTTCCAAATGGCTGTCAATAATATTAAACATTCTAACTTTTCTTCATAAATATTGTAACAGATTCTAGTAGCTAACACCAAAGTCTTCAAGGTGATTTTGAAAACCAGCATTCAGCACCGTTAGTATTTATTTATAAGCTTATACACAGAATTCCTTTAAAAACAATAGTTGGAGATTATTTTTCTTCCCTTCCACTCTGATTTCCTTTTAACTCAAAGGAAAGCTGCTAATAGGTATGTCATGATGCCATGGAAAGTAAATTCAGGGAAATACAGAAATGCTTTTTTTATTTAAGTCAACCTTCTTTATATACTTGCCAGAGTCAAATCATGATGTAGCTTAAAATTATCAAAGCTAGCTAGATATACAGAATCCTTGGCTATCAAAGAGAATAATCTATATATGTATAAGTAATGCAAAGAAGTACTTGGGGCTGGGAAAATGAAAATGGCAGCACAGGATCATGGGTTGGAGCACTGTAGCCACCCACATTCCTCACCCGCAGGATTTCTCTGGAGATGTAAGCAATCCAGTCTTCTTTGAGTGTGTTCCCTTTGGTGTTCTTCACAAGGTCTGTAATGGACCCAGCCCCACAGAACTCCATAACAAGCTATAGGGCAGACAAGACACAAGGTGAGTAACACATCTTGGAGAAATTGGGAAAACCAGTTTAACCGCCATGCCATCTCTTTATTCTAAAGACCTGGAAACGTGATGCTCCTAAATAACTCATAATAATTTGGAGGCACCTAAAGAACTGAAAGCTCATTTCACGGTCCCATGTATTCGCTCTGCGTATTTGGTCCAGCAGACTGAGAGTGTCTGGTATTCTACGGCACACCCAAGCGTAGCAATTCTGAAGTGCTCCTTCTCTCTCAGAAGCACGTGGACACAGGAAGACCACTTTGCTCCTCATCACTGCCCAATTATCAAATATCTGACTCAAATATTCCCTAACATTCTTTTTCATTTTGCCTCAAAAACATTCTATTTTTCACATTATGATCCTCAAACTATTATATTTTACATTAACTGGGTCTAATACGAATAAAAAATAGTATTTTTAAGCAGTTATACAATTTTTAATACAATATTTACGGTATCTGAATGTTTGAACAATATGATCACAACGGTATGTTTAAAGTACCCAGAAAATAAACCGAACTGAACTGTTCTAAAATTTTAACTGTGACCTGATTTGGGCAATGGTAACAGAGTAAACTTTTTCCCTTCTATTTAATTTCGCAGATGTTTTCTGTAACGGCCCTTTAAAAATACTGATACAAAAAGTATTCATCTATCTTCCTGCTTTGCAAGTTTAAATAATGTGATAGCCACAGATCTGATGGTATCTCCAGGTCCTTATCTTGAATATAAATGTGTTCAAAAAGAGATAAGGTTGAATGTGTCAATTCCAGAAATTTCCCTGTAATTTGTTTTAATTAACTATTATCATTAATACTATTGATAAGCTACTGACAGAAGTTTGTTTCTTGAGATCTGTCTCTCATTTCCAAGTGGTAAGCTCAATTTGCTGGGCTTTCAAATTAGTTTTGTTCCCATAAATAAAGTTTTTATTGTATTGCTTTCAAGCTCCTAATTTCCTTGCTATTTGATCACATTCCTTCTAGATGCTGCCATTTTATTCCTGAAACACAAAGTTAACTTTTTTCCATGCAATGTGAAATCAATATCACAATAAACAACCAGCATATAGTCAACCCAGAGACATCGGCCAAGGAAGCCTTTAGAATCTGCCAGCTACTTACTGCTCCTCTTCATGGTTTTTCTTCCCTCCCTTCCCCCCAGCCCCCACCCCCGCCACGCCCTTACAATTCAAGCAAACGGAACGCCCACAAATGCTCAGGAAACATCCACCTACCCAGAGTTGGTCATCATGTCCTGGAGGGCTCTTTTTGATGAAAGCACCATAATATGTTGCAATATTTCTGTGATGAGAGTATTTCTTTAGCATATTTATCTCCAGTTTGATTTCTTCCTCTTCATCCTTAAGAAAAAATAAAAATAAAATGTGTGGCTACTGAATGATGTGCATGACTTTACTTCTCCCACACCACACACAATAAAGAAAGGAACACACGTTTCCCACCCTCCAGGAGCAGAGGCACATATGCATTCACTTTATCCTTATGCCAAGAACAGGAATCTTGGAGGACTCATCCTTTGAAGTGTGATTACAGGACGTGATGCATAGGAGGTAAAGACAGACACGGAGAGCTGCAGGGACAGTGCGAGGGGGCTGCCTGGCCAGTTCTCCCACTAACTGTGACCTCTGGAAATGCACTCCACTTCTCTGAGCCTCGGTTTGTTCAGCTGTAAAAATGGGACCAAAAAAGGGAAATGGCTGATACTATTTGAACTTATCACTTGGAAAGTCTGTTTCCTTTGCAAATACAGATCATCTGGTCCGTTAAGTCCAGAAAACGTTTACCTCAAACAACCCTGCACGACAGCACCCTCTAGTGAAGCCAAGGCAGAGTACTGAATACATGAAAGCAGGCTGGAGGTGCAGTCTGTGACGGTGTGCTCAGTGAGAACCCACTAACCGGAAGAGGTTCAGCTGAGTCCAGTGGGTCCCAGGGAACAAAACATCACTGAGCACATTGTTTCAGACTTGGCTCCTCTCCTAGCATCTTGGTTTATTGAAGTAAGATGAGCAGAGGAAGAAACCCAGAGTTTGTGTGAGAAGATTAGGGTGGGGAATGAAGGAAACAGATAGTGACACAAGTCTGGAAAATAAAAATAAGTTGCCCTTGTGAATGACAAAGGCTGGGAAGTCTGTGATCTCCACCTATCTCTCATATAAACCTGGAGAAGAAGCTGTGCACACCAGTCAAGTAGACAGTCTGTCCCTTGTTATATACACATGACATACTATCCGCGAAGAGTCAGGTTAAGGAAGATTTGTAGTTAGCACAGAATGAAGGGAAAGCAGAGTTAAAGTGAGAAAGAACAGGAACTGTGCAGGAAAGGGAAAATCATCCTTGATTACAAAAGCACAGTATTTAAGATTGGGAGAAATCTGATGACCAGATCTCTTGAATCCCCTATACTGCATACATTTTCAAAAGGAAAAGATGACTAGTCCCCTAAAATGTCCTTACTTTTCTACACTGACACAACCATCCCACTCATAACTTGATGTCCTTCTCTCTCCAGGTAAGAGTAGGGGCTCTGAGTAGCCTAGATGTACGTGTGTGTGTGTATTGTGTGTGTGTGTGTGTATGCACGCACGTACACACAACTTGGAAGAACCCTACTTACTGCTACTTACTGCTTCAGTCTAGCACCTCTAGAACCACTCTTAAGGCCTTACAAGCCTAAAGGAAGTTTGATTTGCAAATTGTTATACTTTAAAAGCTGTGACATCATTAATTAGATATTAATGAGATCAGATGGGAAAAACAATTTTTAAAATACAAACTTCAGTTATACATTACTGCTTTAGAAAACAAATGTATAACAAGACATGTAGTCATCTTAGAATAGTAATTCTCAAGATGGCAGCTTTACAGCTTGGTTCTGAAATATAAACGCTAGAGTATTATAACACAGTCATGCACTACATAACATCTTAGTCAACAAAGGACTGCAAATACAACAATGAACCCATAAAATTAATAAAACTAATAAATGAAGTTGAAAAATTCCCATCACCTACTGACATTGCTTGTGGTGATGCTAAACTAACCTGTCGCATGGCCAGTTGTATAAAATTATTGCACATATAGTTATGTATAGTACATAATACTTAATAAATGACTATGTTAGTGGTTTGTTTACTACACTTCTACTGTTATATTAAAGTGTACTCCTATTTAAACAACAAAAAAAGTGAACTTACAACAGCCTCAGGCAGATCCTTCAGGAGGTATCCCTAAGAAGGCATTGTTATTATAGGAGATGACAGTTCTATGTGTGCTACTGGCTTGAAGACCTTCTACTGGGACAAGGTGTGGGGGTGGAAGACAGATATTGATGAGCCTGACCATGTGCAGGCCTAAGCTAATGTGTGTGTTTCTGTCTTCATTTTTTACCAAAATGTTTAAAAAGTTAGAAAAGACAGAAAAAAGCTTACGAAGATTTTTAAAAAGAAAATATTTTAGTACAGCTATGCAATGTTTCTTAAGCTAAGTGTTATTACAAAAGTACCTAAAAGTTTTATAAAATAAAAGTTACAGTAACCTACAGTTATTACTGAAGAAAGTATATTTTTTACAAATTTAGTGTATCCTAAGTGTACAATGCTTGTGAAGTCTACAGTAGCGTACAGTAGTCCTAGGCCTTCACATTCACTCACCACTCACTGACTCACCCAGAGCAACCTCCAGCCCTGTAAGCTCCATTAATGTTCAGAGCTCTATGCGGAAAGTACCATTTTTTATCTTTTATAACATATTTTGACAATCTCTTTTCTATGTTTAGATACACAACTACTTGCTATTATTTTTCAATTGCCTACACTATTCAGTACAGTAGCACGTTGTACATGTCTGCAGCCTGGGAGCAATAGGCCATACCAGGTAGCCCATGTGTACCATCTAGGTTTACATAAACACACTTTGATGATGGACAACAGCAAAACTGCCTAATGAATGATGCATTTCTGAGAACATAACCCCACTGTTAAGTGATGCACAACTATATATTCTACAGGCACACTTGTCATGTGACTTTGATAGATGACTACAAATATGGCAGCAGTCACATGACCCAATAGAGTTGATATAATAATTCTCCTTCAAACCCTGCAAAGTCCTACCAAATAGGTATAATTTCTATCTGAGATTTAAATATGGCCGTGTTGAAAGCAGCAAAGAAAAATGAGATACTCAATAGTAGATAACCATCTTAATTCTACACAAAACCAGTGTTTAGACTAGCTAGTAAAACAGAGAAACACTTCTATTTGAGACCTTGCTTCAAAGGAACTTCATTCTAAAACAGAAAAGGGTAACAATGTTTATTCCATAGAACATGAGGAAGCATGCCCCAAATAAAAGTAGGAAACCTAATGCCTCAAAAGTTTTATCTTGTGCTCTCTGCACACACATATCAACATGTACAGTATGATGAGCAGTAGTGACCAGGGCTTGCTGGCATGGGGGCACATTGCGCCTGCTCCCTCCTGACTCACCACAACTCACTCCCAGTGCTATCTGAGGGTTTCCGAGAGGCCTCCTGACCAAGCAGTGAGTGGCCTGGGACAGCCCTAATGAGGCTTGTCAAGACAAGTAGGCTCCTGAAAAGAGTTAGCACAGGGTAGTGGCTGTAAACAGGGCCCATTGAAAAGGCATGTGGTGTCACTCCCAGGATAAGGTCCATGGTTAATGTGCTCTAAAAAGCCAAACATCCCACTTTCCGTACACTGAACTGCAGCTGGGTGACCAGAAAGTGAACTAACCGTTTTTCTCCTTTTATCCAAAAGTCAGTAAATCTGTAAGGAGGTGGGGTATAAAAACTACACAAAAACAAAACAACATTGGTTATTCTAGTTACCCATTCGTCTAATCTTACGTTGAACTAGAATAGGGAGAAAATCCAAATACTGATTTTACCTTTGTTCCTGTAATAAGAACTTCATACAGTAGTGAATTTCACTGGACTGTCCAGACTCCTTTCATCAATCCAACCCTTACCTTTGCCTACCTCCACTCCCTGCAGTGGCTAAACTATTTCCAGGGCCGTTGTTCCCTATCACGCTCTGCCAGTAGCTTTCACTTCTTGACAGAAAGAAATGCTACCTATGATTCTCCCATGAAAGCCTTCCTGAGCAATAATTAAGAATTATCAAATATTTCCACTAGGTTCCATTTATATTTTTTCCTTTTAGTGACACAAACCAATGTCTTCCAGGATCTAACCTGTTCACCACTGTATAAGAAAGAGTCACGAGCACTCGATATTTTCACAGCTCACCGAGTTAAAAATCAAGCACACATTTTAAAGTTCTCACAGGCTTAACTTCCATGCTGTCCACTGATGTGAAAACTCCTGAATAGGCACATTGGTAAATACTGGTGGCAGATTACCACGGGACCATGCACTTCACTGAATCTGAAGTGCCCTTGAATGGAGCCCACCACTATTTTATGTCATGAAACCATGAAGCACTGTCAACCATAAAGTACACACTCTAACACCTTCAAAACTGGGTTGCATCTCAGAATCAATGATTAGATGAACAACTAAAATACAATCAAGTCTGGCAATAGTTTTTCTAACATGACGGAAACACCCAAATATCACCCAGAAATACAGTGATCCCATCAATGTCACCTGCCAGACTATTTCCCAGGTCTGAAATAGTCAAATCCTGGAAGCATACAAAAATGAACTACAAAATACATTGCAGGGAAATAATACTCTTCCCTCAAATTACTGTTTTAGGATCAAGTTCATATATACTTTGAACATTTCCTCTCTTGATTTTATGATTTTAAAATAGACGACTATTACACATCTTATAAAATAAAAAGGTAGTTAGCACCACTAATTGTCATTTACTGTCCAATTATGAGTGCCCACTTGGAAGGAAAAAAACACTACTAGAAATACAGAATCTACCAATGGCTTTGAGCCAGTTACAACTGGAAATCTAATTATGACTAATGCTTATTATACAGTATTTTATGTTGTCTTTAGAGTAGGGTCATAATGAATCAACTTCTGAGTTTCAGTCTCCTTTCAGTTATTAAACACATGTTTGGTGGTCGCATCCCAACACTTAAGTACATACATACATACCACCACCACCACGAGCACCACCAAAAACAAACACTCCATGTGGCCTGGAAAGATACAGGAGAAAACAGACTGGGGCCAGCTAAAACCGAAATTTAGAAACAACAAAAAATCCCATACATAAAGTTGAGTTGGCAAAACTACATAGAGGAAGTTTATATATTCCATGTGTCCAGGCAGAGTCCAAACTACTGTGTCCTCCATGCTCTTCTTTAGCAGGTCACAAGTATAAACAAATGAAAA